ATGAAAAGCGGCCTCAATTTTAGTCCGATTTCAACAATTTTCAACGGTTTGCTTTTATGTGGCAAGCACAATAACCATACCGAGCTTGGTAGAAATTGCTAGAACGGTTAGCGAGATACATATATGTGATCACAAGTGGGCGGTGCTACGCACATTTTCCTAAATTTTGTCATAAGCGTATTTCTTGGTAAAGAATTGTTGCAACCATCAATTTTGAATAAATTAGCTTCAATATTTACTGATTTATCGAAGATTTTGTATTTCTCGAAATTACCGTTATATGGGATGTGGGCGTGGTTATTGTCCGATTTTAGAAATTTTCGGCCATTTGATATGCTGTACCAGGACCAACAACTGTGCCAAATTTGGAAGAAATTGGTGTAGCGGTTACCAAGATATACACATGTAACCATAAGTGGGCGTGGCTACGCCCATTTGCCAAAATTTTGTAATATTCTTATTTTGTGTCTAAAACTCATTGCTAATATTAATTTTGAGTGAATTATCTTCAGTATTTACTAAAATATCGCAGTTTTCGTTTTTCCGAAAATTACCGTTATATGGGAGGTAGGCGTGGTTATTGTCCGATTTTTTAAATTTTCAGCCATTTAGTATGCTGTACTAAGGCCAACAACTGTGCCAAGTTTGGAAGAAATTGGTGCAGCGGTTACCAAGATATACACATGTAACCATAAGTGGGCGTGGCTACGCCCATTTTCCAAAAATTTATAATATTCATGTTTTCCGTCTGAAACTCATTGTAAGTATCAATTTTGAGTGAATAATCTTCAGTAGTTACTAATATATCGCAGTTTTCATATTTCTTAAAATTACCGTTATATGGGATGTAGGCGTGGTTATTGTCCGATTTCGCCCATTTTCAATACCGTCTGTCCTACGCCCAAAAGAAGTTGACGTACCAAGTTTCGTTAAGATATCTCAAGTTTTACTCGAGTTATCGTGTGCACAGACGGACGGACGGACGGACGGACAGACAGTCACCGCTTAATCGATTTCTCTTTTCATTCTGATCATTTATGTATACATTTGTCTATATCTATCTCGATTCGTTTTGCCTGTTACAAACAACCGTTATGTGAACAAAGTTATAATACCCTGTGCACAAGTGCGCTCGGGTATAAAAACACAGCACAGAATGGGTAGGTTCAGAAGGCGCAGCAGTTGCGCGCAACCGCTAAAAAAATCAGTGATCGTAATGCGTCTTCTGAACGGCCTGATACATTAGCTGTCAAATTCAAAACACAACATGTTGTCTCAAATGATCAGAAAAATATTACGATCACTTAACACGCAACTGTTCAGTTGATCAGAAGTATAAAACAACACGTTCAGAAGGTGCAATCGCAACTGTTACTGAGCTCTTGCGCCTTCTGAACGTGCCCAATGATTCAAGATGTAATTGTAAGCAAATTTGCTGAAGAAATCATGGGTCTAAAATCAATTTGGAGTTAGCCAAATAGCGAAAATAAGTTTCCAAGCATTTTGCTGTAGTGTCATAATAAGTGCTTCAATTTTGTACAAAAACATGCTATATGGGGTTTTTTGGTATGAATAATTCATTTCTGCTCTTATCTTTTTCTGCTTTCTTTCCAGAGGGCGCAATAGTGAAAATTTACATTTCCTTCGAAACCTATGTTCACAATTTGGCAAACTCCAAATTGATTTTAGACCCATGGTTTTTTCGGCAAACCCGCCCTAATATACATATAATAATAGTATAATTACGCACGTGCATCCACACATTTAATTGTGCAAAAAATACAAAAAATTCCTCATACTTACGCACAGACAAATGTAAGTTCATACGCATGTATATTTTTCATTAAAATAAAGCAAAACGCAAAAAAAACCACAAAAATCTGTTGCCATGAATATTATCATCATCTTCGGCTATATGACGGCCACATCATAATCATGCTCACGATCAATCCACCCCAACGCCCCCGCATTCTACAAATTTAGCTTGGCTCAGGCAATCGGCCACCACCAATTACGTACATACAGTGCACGGACTTTACCACTTTATTGGTAGATCTACCAACTTTTTAGCAGTATTTTATTTTACCATTTTTACCAACAAAGGCTTAAAATCTACCAATATTTTTCGGAAAGAAAGCAAAAAGATTTAAATGAACGCAGTGTATACATACTTTGCCATCGAATACACCTAAAATAAATATGAAAAGTTAACTCTGACCATGGCCAATTTAAAAGTGAAATTGCATCCTATCAGCTGTTTATGGAAATATTTTTCGTTTGCCATACTTTGTGCAGCAGACTGCCAAATGAATGGGTTGTAAATTTCAAGCATTTCGAAACTAATTTTTATCAAACAATTTTGTAGTGCAGATTGTTTTTTTTTTAATGTAGAATAAAGGCATCCGTGTTCGAATCGAATTCGAATCGAAATTTCTTATTGGATTACGGCATTTGGTGGCGAGTTTGCTTTTTCAGCTTAAAATATATTTAAGACAAACGGTTGTCATTTTATTTTATTCGATTCGAATCGTGTTTCATTCGATCACGGATGCCATGATTCGGGCCCATTTTTACGCTTTTTCTTGAATGTTTTATTGGCGTAAAATTAGGGTTGCCAGATTTTTTATGCGCGAAATCAGTACACTAGACTTTTTCATGCTACAAAAATCAGTACTTTTCAGTACATTTTTATTCAAAGCAAAATTATGAATGTAAGTAACAGAAAATAATTTATATATTTTGGTATATAAATAAAATATAGTTCATAAAAAATAAAAGTGTTATTCATTTTGACATGAGTATACACATCATTATACACAGTAGCCAATAAATTATTTTATATTTGTGACATTTTGAATAGCAATAACCAGGGTTCGGATTTGCCTCATTTTAGCCCCTCGCTAGCTCGTTAGTTTGCTCTGAGCTTGCGCAACTCACGAGGAACAGGCGAGGCTGTTTGCAAACGAGCACTCGTTTAGTACGAGCGCACGCGGTGAGCAGCCAGCGAGCGAGTAAGCAAACGAGGGCAGCGCAACAGTAGAGCGGCACGCAAACGAGCACCTCATTAGCTCTGCCCTTGCGAGGGCGTCGTTGCGAGCGAGGCACTCATTTGCAGCAGCAGGCGACCGAGGCAAATGAGGCGAGTAAACGAGCGAGGCAAATGAGGCAAGCAGATTAGACAGGCAAACGGGTTGTTTGGTCAGCAAAATGTATGGGATAAAAATTGCATCAACTAAGAATTTCGAGTAAAGGATTGTATGCACGCATGGAGATATGTATATACGTACATACATGTATACACATATGTATATATTTATTTAAGTATATATTCTCATGCACAGAAGAATAGATTAATTAATTAATTAATTATTTTAACCAGTTTTATCTACTAGGTAGGCACATACATATGTGCATACTTATCTATGTATGTAGGTATAATTTTTTTAATGTTCAATAATTTCTTATAAAATTTCAACTTACACACTAACGTCTCTTTTTA